AGAGTACTGAAGAGGGTTGCTTTCTAACAAGCAGCACTGGGTTCAGAGTGCTCCCAATCCTCAAAAAATCAGGATTAAACAGATTTTGTAAATGAGAGAAAAGACTGGAATTAAGCAACATGGTAAGAAACAATGAAGCTTTTTGCCAAGAACAAAGTTCATCACCTTGACAACTGGATTACTAAATTTGTACTGAAGCAGGCCAGACCCTCAAAAAAGGAGCACCATCAAGATCTGGACCTCATTCAGTGCACACTAGACAGCTTCAGCTCCACCATCACTGAGCCTGACAAAATGCCCACGCAGGAGTTTGGCTTCCTAGCACAATGCAGCACTATGCAAAGTCACCTAAGCTACTTCAGGTACTGGGAGGCAGTACAGCCACACAAACAACAAACCCTGTTTTCACACAAGGCTAAGTCAGGCTGGCCAGCATGCCATGCTAATGCAGCCAAGCCATACTGCTTCAAGTAGCCAAGGCTGCTTAGGCATTGCTACACAGTACCCCATGAATGTATACCCCAAATCTTCCTGTTGCGTTTCACATACCTCCTCATATGAAGCCTACATAGCATTGTGAGACTCCAAAATCTAATGGGTGTGATTGCACAGGGTACCAAATACAAAGAGCAAAGGTTAAAGAGGACACTCATCTTCAGAGAAAGGGTAACTTACAATTAGATTTCAAAGGCTTCTCAGGATTTGAAAGCCAAACCTTTTCCAAATTATCCACGAAAAATATTAGGTACCACTGGAGAAAACTGGGCCACAGAAACTTTCAACTCATGATACATTATTGCCAATGAAATGCAGTTGGTAGGACCCAAGATGTAGAAGGTGAATACTTGCTCAGATTACTAATGAGGATTTATGAAACAAGACACGGATAAAACCAGGTCCTGCATCAACTAGAAAAGGCTCCACTTAATGCACTGAACTCTGATGGAAGAGGTCAGGGGAGAGTTGCCAAATTTCTGGAGAAGATATTATGGACAAAGGAAAACACATCAAAGGTACTTCTCCATGCAAGATCATCAGCTGCTACCATCACCTTCCAAGGAGGAAGGCACTGAAATGTGACAGGCTAGGACACACGAGGGAATTAATTGCATGGGAAAGAAATGAAATTTCTGTCCCCATGGAAAGGGGAGATACAGCGATGCCAACCCTCTGAGAAGACAGCATGTTGGAGTCCGATTTCTCAGGTAAACCACTATGCCTATAGTAAACACTTACCTGTGGGTAAGCCTAACTATAGTAGCAATATTCATTGAAATACATTTCATTGCACTATGCCCCAAGTATTATTCCTTTTCACAGATTTTATCTAATGAGTTTCTCTCCATCACAGGGGTTATTAGATGCGTTTCTTAATAAAAAAGTGTGCTTGTTGACTAAATAGGAGAAAGAAAGCGGGCGAAATGCTAACTCTAACCACTAGGTGTCAGTCTAAGAAAGAGCATAGTTAACATTTTTGATGAGGTAAATTTAAAAATCTTAACTTTGTCATGTTTTAGTGTATATATGTAATTTACAACATACATGCAGCTTTAAATATTTAAATTACACATTTATTTCTATTGAAGATGACCCAGTTTTGACTTGCATGTTTAAGAGATGTACATGAACTCATCTGCTCTTAAGAGACAAAGACTTAAATATAGAAATTTAAAAAACAATCATACCGTTTACAAAAGGTAGGCTTAATTAAAAACAGTAGGTAACATATGTAAAGCTACACACCTGCCTCTATACAGCCAAGCAAACATGTTGCCTCTTATATACCTTACTGTATTTAACAGAAGTGTGTCGAGCCATATATACACACCATATGTGACAAATTCTTCCATGGTTTTATGATTCTACTTTGAACAGTTACAGAAACGTGTAAATGCATCAGTAATTTTACTACATCTTATGCTTAAATTTATAGTTGCAATTTCTTCAATCTAAAACTATTTTTTAAATGAAAAGTTCTATATTACTAAAAAAAGCATGTAAGACAACAATAACCAAGTGGCAGCCACAGCCTATACAGTATGTAACCTTGCAATCTTTGGGAGGAGAATTTCATGTACATTTAAACGTAACATTTGCAAGTTTGATGCACGACAATTCTGGACCCCAAAGAAACTGAATGAAATAAGCCAACAACCTACCAGCACAATTCTACTTTGTTTGTCCCCCCAAAATTTTTTACCACCACATGTACTGATTTATGCCACTCAATTTTCTTACAAGATTAACACCACCAAGTAGTAAAAGCAGTTCTTCCTATGCAATTATTTTCTTAATTAGCACTCACTATTAGCCATATATTGCAATTTTCTAAGAGATGGGATCTCCAGTGACTCCAGGTGCGATAAGCTACATCATGCCCAATACTGCCTGGACACAGGCTGACGTGCTGAAGGGTGCAATAATATGGGAAGAGACCATACTTAAAGGACAACGAGGTTGAAGCATTTGAAATATTTCTCATTCTCTTATCAGGCCTCTTCCTAGAAACTGCTCTTCCCATTTGCTTTTAAACGCATCAAAATAATTTTATTTCAAACTGTTAAATTAGCAACAGATTTAAAAATCAAGTAAGACGTCTTAAAGCTAAGCCTCTCATTACACAGCTCTGCCATAAGAATTCTCCCAGGTAGTCCAGGAGGCTCTTTCCCTGTCCCCAAGCCGCTCCTGGACTACAGCTGAAAACACTTCAGTAGCACATCACAAAAAGCTGAACTCCACCCTTGCATCTTCTGCATATGCTCTAAAAACGGGCATCTGGCATGCAATATTCCCAACCCAAGATATCAATCAATTTGCAACTTTACTGTAAGTTCAGCTGGGAACTACCTTCTTCTGTCTGGTATTCACTACAGACAAAATAAGGGGCTGTTCTTAAGTCCCACTGAAATACAGGGGGCTCAAAATGTATTCAGTATGGAACACCCATCTTCCCTGCTTGCTTCATTTAAAGGAAAGACCCGGGATACAGGCCTTCAGCATTGTTTAGACTCCCCGGCAGATGAAACAACATCCAGCAAGTCAGGACACGGCCTGATGAGCGTAAGATTTAAACGCAGCACTCGGTCATCCCAGTGAAAAACATTCTAGTAGGAAAAACTGCCTTATATGCCATACTTGCTACAGTATGAGGAACGTTATTAAGTTTAAGTTAAGGTAGGATGGGATTTAGGAAAATAAGGCCCATTTTTCACTATTCCCTGATCCCACAGATAAGACTGAATCTTCCCTAAAATCTGGTTTATGATCGCTTGACCAGTGGGGCCGTCTCAATGATGGAAGTGAGGCACAAACCAAATGTGCGGGGTTGTTTTAATTAAGAGAAGGATTTCTGTGGGTGATATCTTTTATTGGACACATTATATGGCTGGGAAACAAGTTGTTTTGGTTTTTCTTACTTATTCAGACCAGTTTTCCCTAGAAGGGGGAACAGGCATTTCAAGGTGCTTGTCATTTCAACTGATTTTTCTCTCTCATGTGCAAAATCTGGTCTTCATAATGCCAGATGTTACTCCCAGAAAAGCTATATGAAATTGTATTTTGCTTTATAAAAACTCCAACCTTAACCAGTTAATCCTTCACACACATCCAGGCACAGTGTACACCAATACTCCTAGAGTTGCCTGGCAACTAGTGGGAGGAGTGTTAGAGAGCAAGAAGGGGCTAAATGAATGAAGAGAAGTTGGTGTGTGTCTGACATGGATAAAGGAGGCTTACAGCCAGGCTGCCTTGCTGCTTTCAGTTTTGTTATTTATGTGGATGGGAATTAAAATAGCTCCCGTTAGTCCATATTAGGTACACTGGAGGCATAACATTCACACCCGCTATTTTTATTTTTATTTTTTATTTATTTATTTATTTTTACCAGCCAGGCACATGCAGAGATCAAATACATTTATATTTCTATGCATATCATATGCACATCCTCACTATGAGGACTGGAGAAAAGGACTCAGACCTGCTGAATTAAACAGTGGTACTTTAGAACAGTGACTGGTTGGAACTATGCTTTCTGGAAGACGGTGATAGACTACTGAAATCTCTTGCCAAGCTACTTCCTTCCCATCAGATTTACAGATCCACGCATCTCCACAATATGCAAAAATATTAAATTCTGTGTATTTTCTGACTCATGCCTAGTGCATGAGTTCACCACATTATCTCCCCTGCTCCATTTGTCATGAGCCAATATGGCTAGAAGCATTTTCTGTGTGCTCAGAGAAGTCCAACCAGCAGATTGAGTAATGTGGGACCCATCCTTGATACAGGAATGGTCAGACTGGCTCATATCTGAGGCCCATTCATCCCACCGCTCTGTCTCTGGCAGTGACCAGCATCAGCTGTTTCAGAAGGTGCAAGAACCCAGAAGCAGGTAGAAGTGGGACAATCGGTTCCCCGCATTTCATCCTGGTCCCCAACAGAGAGAGGTTTAAATGCAGTCCAATATTTCTATCATCAGTAGTTACGACCCCAGCTATTTTATTGCTGTGTGTATAAACGTGAACTCTGTTTTGAATAGTATTACTTTCTTAGTCTTGATAATTTGCTGTAGCAGTTGGCCTCACAGTTGAATATACAGCGTGAAAAAAATTCTTTTCATTTGGTTTGTTTTGAATGTACAACTTTTACAAATTTCAGCAAATGCCCTCATATTTTGTGTCATGAAAGAGAAAAGAGGAGCCCCTAATCTACTTTCTCATGTCCCCCCAGACAAAGAAGAGCTTTTCTAGGCCCTTGTTTATTCTTGTTGCTCCTGGCTGAGCACCCTCAATGGTCTCATAATTTATTTCCTTCTCGAGATGCAGTAACAAGGCCTGTATGCAGTTTCTACACGGGACCAAACTCTGGGTATGTATAATGACAATGTAATGGTCTTTTCACTACTTACTGGCCCACTCCTTTGATAGCTGAACATCAATTTTTTGCCCCCTCCTCCTCAATTCCATGTTTACGTCTATGTTACAAACTCACATCCTACTCACAGGTTCAATTTTCAGGGCGTTTCTGTAGCTCCCGAAGAAAGAAGCCTGGGACTTCAGGAATGCTCTTGCCACACCATCCCCAGTAGTTGTGGAGACTTTCTTTAGCCTGTTCTTCAGCGTAGAAACCTGAAAATACACAACAGGTCGGGTCATCCTTGTGGCACAAACACAGAAAACTCCACACCGGGACCCAGCTTGAAAGGTTTCAAGAGGTATCACAGCAGTAGTGAAAAAGAATGGCAGACTATGAACCTGAAGCCTCTAGTCTTAAGGAAATGGTATTTCCAGTGTTCAGCTATGCCCACTTAATTGATAATCAAGTTCTGCTGAAAGCCTGCAGCAAGAGTGCAGGAAGATCAGGGTCAAGTTTTAAAGCCTGCCTTACTGTCACCTTTTTGAAATCAGAGATTAATCCAGTGTTTTGTGTTCTTTGGAGGTGGCTAAGAAGTTGCATGTTATCCCTGTTTGCAGTCCATCAAATTTCAATACTTAAGTTTCAGTAGCCAAACCAAAGGAATGTAAAAGCCTAAGCAATTATTTCAGTCCTGGAAGTTGCACTATGGAAGACTAGTAATTAGTCTCTCCTAATTTTAACAAGAGCTGAGAGAGACACGGAGAGAAAGATATGGGCTGGTGAAGATGCAAATGTTCTTTAAGGCCTACTGCGACTGCATCTTGTCCCATGTACATGTGTAAGCGGGCTGCATCTTCAGCTTGCTTCACAGCAGCTTTTACAACAGTCTCTGTGCTCTTTGCTAAAATGTTATTTTGCAATCCCCTCCAGGAGCAGTCCCTGGTAACCGTCAACAAGTATCCCTAGGCCTCCTATCACCACTAAGGAAACTCATCTTCTTCCAGTAGCGCAAACGTATCTTTGTCACAAAAGAGCATCTGTCTTGACTCCAACGTTTCAAGTATAAGGAAATGGGCAAGAGAAACTGCACAGGTGATATTAAGCTAAAATGAAAGATTAAGCAAACACAATACTTGAGACTGAAAGAAATTAAGACTTTGTAAGTAATGGACCCATAACTGATGAAATACTTTACAAGATGCACCATTCCTGATATTCTGGCCATGCCTGATAATAGCATATCCTGCAGTTTAAATGTTCTTTTATTCAACACAATATTATCAGCACAGCCTCATCTCCAGGCTAGGGTAAACTGATAACTGCAAGGATATGAAGCAATATTTGAGGAGCAGGTCTTCAGTTGATCATATTAAAACAAGAAAACATAACCAGACTCAGAATCTGGGTATACCTCTCTCTGGACTTTAAATATCAGACTCGTACACATTTTTTTCCATTTGTTCTTTACATTTCATTCAGTCCTAATCATAGCTAATTTCTGCCCATGGAAATGAAACCCAACAAATACTTTACATGTGGTTAGGAAACACTTAAGTACCAGGGAAATTTTGCATAATCAGGCCATCAATCTTCATTTGAAAGAATGCTAAACCATTTAGGGAACAAATCTGGCATGTCTGAAGAATGTCAATCACAACAGGGTCTCAATCCTGATAGAATAAAGCAAGTATAAAAGGAAAAATTGTGAGGACATATAGGCAAATGCAGTGTTCACATGTGCTAAATGTATTTTTGAAGCATGAGCTGCAAATCTAAAATGCAATGTTTTTATTCATATGAAAGAAAAACCTATACCCCCACCCAAAAAAAAGAAGAAAAAAGGTGTCTCACAATGACAATGGTGACATTTCCATCCTTTGAAATGGTCGATATCAACTGAGGTTCTTTTCTTGCTGCTTCTCAAAGGATCTAAACCACCTGTGCATCAGATTATTCCTCACTTAACCTTCACTGCCCTTTCTCTTTCATACTGGAGGTGTTTAATTACCTCAGATTCACAGAGCTGCACTTCAGGTGAACATAGTCCTAATGGTCTCATTACCATTTACACAAAGAAATACTCACTGATTGTAACTGAGCAAATATCAACTGTACACCCTCTTACACAGGCAAATTTAAAAACTACCCAAGCATTTAGGTTACCTGAATATTCTTTGGTCTTCTATATACTCCAAGGGCTGCAGTTCTGAAGAATTACCTATTACTGTTTTCTGTACTTCACAATTTCTCTTCTACATATAAATAGGTTGTGACTTAGCTTGATGTGCTTCCTTTTTAGCGTTTGCAGCTTGGTAGCTTCTAAAGTAAGGTTGTGTATCTGCATGCTATTGTTAGTGACAGCATTTTTGCTTCTCAAACACAGGCAAGGGAAATGAGATAAAAAGACCCTTTCACAAATTAATGTTTAACGTGCTGCGCCTGTGCTGCAATGGCTGCAACCAAATCTTTAACAAATAGTTTTGTCAGCAACAATTTTGGGGTGTTGGAGACAGAGAGCCAGGACAAGTTAAGGCTTGAAAGAGTCACAGAAGGAAAACTAGTGCAAGGAGAGCAAAGATGTGAGCAGTAGAGTCTAGACACTATTCTCTCTACTCAGGCATCTAAGGAGCACTCATACAGCTAAGCATCCACGTGCACTTCTGTTCCACCTTGCTCCAGTTCCAGAAGAACCATTCATGCGTTTGCTTTTGTCCAGCTTAGCCTTAAGGATAAGTCACAGGAACAAAGGAGAAGCATGACTCTCACGTGTGCAAGGCTGTGTGTATGCTCGCTCTCTCATTTTTATAATATGAGAGATATGTGTATGCACACTAGCATATACACACATGCATGCATGCGTGTGCACGTGTATAAAGCTTTAGAGACAAACAGACAAAATATCATCATTATAAAATTATCTTAAGATGTTTTAGGGACCCAAATATGGTGGAACAGGATTGCACTTAGATGCCCAAGAGGCAGAACAGGATGCAGCCTTGTTTCCATGTATCCCTAAGGGTCTTAACAGGCAACACATTTCCATGGGAGTACTTTACATCTGCTCTGCAAATTAATATAAATTGCACTGGGATCTAGAGTAGACACAGCAGCACCTATTGCTGGGGTGGCTGCCTGCACTGCAATGAATGCTGTTACAAACCTTTGCCACTAGATGCTAGGGGAACAGGTAACAGCCCATTTATCTTGAGTCAACAAGCACCCCAGAGTGAAACGCAGACAGACACCTACCTGGCCATAATTTACGCTGGTGCACTTTTACCCTCCACTCCTTCAGTAACTAAGCGTGAGCACGCGTGTGAGGGAGAGGGGGGGATGACACACTACAATAATTTTATTATGGTTATATTTTTTGTACATATCATCATAATACAAGAGCTTTTGAGTGTGCACACCCTGCAAATTCTGAGCGTCTCTTGTGTTTGCTGGCTTCTTCATAAGCACACACATAGCTGTTTTTCACTGTTTAACGTCTACATGGTGAACAGTAACTTCTCCTGTTTCGTGCAATTTAACTCTACTATTTAAGCAGCGTCAACTCACTTTTCCTTTTTCTGTCTGTCCTTAAACCTAGAAGGTAACCCCATATTTGCTGATACATGCTACAAAGGCTGCAGGAAATATCCCCCATCCTACTGCACTGTATCTACTTGTGCTAAATGAAGAAATAAATCTGTTTTTGGTTTCCGATAAAATTACAGATATTTTCATTTTTATTTTTTACTTAGACTTTTCTGCAGCATGGAGTGCTTCTGTCATAAAAAGATTGATGTTATTACTACGTACCACGAAATGGAGAATTAAGGACATGTCCAGCATTGTTTTTAAATCCAAAAGCTGTAGTTTTTGTCAATGAGCCATGCATTAATGAGCCTCAGAGCACATACTAACATGATAGACCATAGCAGTTTCAGTGGAAGGCCTGTTGTGTCCATAATCCATGGCTCATTTCCTTTCACTGAAGCCATAATGTCCCTGAAGGAGCTCCTTTATTCTCAATGGTGCAAGTGTAATAGTTCCAACAAAATCTGAAGTTTGAACTAGACACAAGTGGTATTATTGTTTTTACTTCGTCTTTAGCTTATCTGTGGCCCAAAGGCCCAGTAAGCACTGATCTTTTGAATTTCTGGCTTTTGCATTATACATACAACTTTAAAAATAGGCTACTTTTAATTGATGCATCCCTTGAACAAATTTTTGCACTGCAGCTAAATCTCTGAAATCTCTGAATCAATCTGGAAAGTTGTAAGAGTGATTTTCTATTAGCCTCTACTTGGAGAAAGATGAGCTTGGTGCTAAAGTCTGGGAATGGCAGTCAGAAGACCCGAGTTTTATTTCTGGCTTTCTGACAGGCTTCTAATGTGGCCTAAGGCAAAGACAGAGAGGTTATGACTTCAGTTTCCCCATTTATTATACAATTACAATAACGATGCATCTCACTCAGGCATTGTGCTAATTTTAGCATTTCTAAAGCACTCCGACATCCCCCAAAAAAGCATTTAAGTATTTATTCCTCAAATTAACAAAAAAATATTAAACAATTCTCATGTAGTATGTATAAACATCAAGGGAGCTCTGCTTCTTCCTTAAAATTAAAATGATCCTGGCACTACCAAGTCTTCACGTTATATATTCACACATTCACTCATCTCAATCAAGTTCTCCATAATCACCACTTTTCACACTTTCTGATGTACAATATTGTAGCTTAAATGACAAAGCATTTAAATAATGCATTTAGAGAGAGTGATGAGTGAATACAAGTAAAGCAGCTCCTGTGTTCTCTCTGGAATAAATTAATACCTCAAACAAAGTAGGCTATGCAAACTGAACTGCAATTGTTATCCTGCCTTAAGAGACTGTAAAGCCTTTTTTTTTAAAGCAAGATTGTGACCGTTCAATATGAAGATTATTTCTAACCAAACAGGCACATATACATACAGACTATCCTAGGAGTGTTTTTAAAGAAGATTTTTATACTTCTGGCAGTTCAGGTTTAAAGGTCAGATTTAAACTATCACCATGTTTCAAAATGCAATCTGTGCAATGCAGCATAATGAAATGGTTCAGTAAAGGTGCTAGTGGAAATTCTTTTAATTAGGTCCAAGGCTTTTCAGTTGTCAACATGAATAAAGCAAGAAACATTCTATTGCAAACACAGTATAAGAAAATAAAAGTGGAAGTTACCTTTCAAAAATGGATTTGCAATTGAGAAGCAGAAATATTTCCAGGCTCCCTCAAAAATACATTTAAT